TGTTTACATTTAAAAAGGTTCAGTTCTTGATTATTTTCAGTTAGTACTTGTGGCTCCGTGTCTGTTTATTTTTGTAAATTTAAATTTAGGTGACATGGTACTCCTGCTACACTTGAGAGGGCCCGTAAATCAAAAGGTTGCCTAGGCCCATGGGCTTAATGTGAGAAAAGGTCCCCGAAGGAATCGAAAAGTTGCACGCGTCTGAAGAGCCTCCCCCGACACCAAATTATCACTCGCAAAACGCTCGCTTCCGCAGCTCCTCCTCCTCGATCCGCTTCCCCACTTCCTCAACCTCAAACCCTAACCCTACCCCTGCGAAAAAGGGAAGAAGGGAGGAAAATAAAAAATGGCGACCCGCAAGCTTCTAGCCCTAGCCCGATCCCGACGCAGACCTTCAAGCCTCCCCTCCCTCCGATCTTTGCCGCGCTCCGCGCACCGCGATCTCCACTCCTCCGGCCCCGGCGAGATCTCCCTCCTCCACTCCCACCTCCCTCTCGGTGCTTCACTACGATCGGATGCCGCCGCGCGTCAAATCGAAAGCTCCAGCGCCTCGAGAATCCGGATCCCCGCTTCCTCCGCTACGCTCCCTCCACCCGACCCTAGCGGATCACACCGCCATCCTCTCAGGCCCCCGAGACCCGCGTCACCACGCTCGCCAACGCCCCTCCGCGTCGCCACCGAGTCCATTGCCTGCAACACGCGGACTACGAGCGCACCGGTCGGCGTGTGGATCGACGCCGGATCTCGGTTCGAGACGGACGAGACCAACGGCACTGCCCACTTCTTGGAGCATATGATATTCAAGGGGACGGAGACGAGGAGTGTGAGGCAGTTGGAGGAGGAGATTGAGAACATGGGGGCTCATCTCAACGCTTATACGTCGAGGGAGCAGACTACTTACTATGCCAAGGTTATCGAGAAGGACGTGGGGAAGGCGGTGGAGATCTTGGCTGATATTCTTCAGAACTCCAAGTTTGATGAGGCCAGGATCTATAGGGAGAGGGATGTCATATTGAGGGAGATGGAAGAGGTACAAAAAATCATTTATTTTTTATATATGCAAAATTATTATTATTAATTTTCTATTCTTGCTTATTGTGATGTTGAATTCTGACTGCTGTTGGTTCTGTAACCGTGCATTAATTATTTTATACTGAAGAGTTATAAAATAATTCAGCACATATTCTTTCATTTGGTTAACAAATTTGATTTTTATAGTTTAAGCACTTCCAATCAGAAATATTTTTATTCTTAATATATAAATCACTATTACAATCGATGAAAATATATTCATTTATCTCAATATTAATAGTTATTACCAAATTTCATTCTTAACTATGTATACAAATAACAATCAGTGTTATCGAGGCGCAAGGCGCAATGCGGGGCGCAAAGGTCCCTTACGCGCACCATGCGCAAGGCGCACAACAAGGTGCGCGCCTCACTAACTGAGGCGCATAACTCAAATTAATATTTGCCAACATCATAAGACAGAAACATATAAGCAACATATTAGTTACCTACATCCAAAATTATGAGAATATCAACTTAAATCATCAAATTATGCTAACTGAATTTTTAAAGTAACAAAAAAGATACAAGAAACATGTATTTAAATCATCAAATTAAGTGATTAACAATTATGAGCATATGTTTATAAATTGTCACATAAAAAAACTAAGAAATATATAATTAACAAACATGACTGTTTATAATTTTTTAGTTAGTATTCTTAATTGATATTTGCTATCTAGCTTGAAAAGTTAAAGAATGAATGTAACAATTACATATTTACATGTTCATAATTTGCTAGTTAGCATGCTAATTAGAGAAGAAAGTTACAATTAGCAAACAAGTATATTAAATTACTAATTATTGTTTCCTTTTTATAGGTTAAACATGAAAATATGAAAATAGATTAGCAACTAGTAAGAAAGAGTATATTACATGATATAAATATGTAATTATGTAAATTATTTAAAAAAATAGAAGAAAGAGTATGTTACATAACACAGGTGCGAGGCGCACGTGAGGCGCGCGCGAGGCGCACGCGAGGCGCGCGCCTCGCTGCGTGCAGCGCCCCGCCTCGCATGCGGGGCGCATTTCGCCCAGGCCGAAGCGCCTCGCGCCCGGGGCGCGCGCCTCAATAACACTGATAACAATAACAACAACAAAGCCTTTATCCTTAATGTTTGGGGTTGGGTACATGAGTCATACTCTTCCATTATGTTCTATGTATATAAAAGATAATATCTATTTCTTAAAAGATAATATCTAGTTCTTGACTATGTTTATAAAAGATAAATATCTATTTCTTAAAAACATGCAATTATTTTGTAACCATTTAATTATTGAAAGTGTATTAACATGGTTGGTTTTCCCCCCTTCTTCCCACCCACACATAAATCGTATACCCCAATGACAACACAATCTACACCCACTCCCTTTGTCATTAGTCCACATTCTCTTTCTCCATGTTCCTTTTCTGCCGTCTTCTTCATTTGACTTATAGTCAGTTGCTCCTAGTCCTACCTGTGTTGTCAATGCGCAAGGCGCAATGCGAGACGCAGAGTATCTTTACGCGTGCATGCTCCAGACACAACGCAATGCACGCGCCAAGTAATGTGAGGCATACACCGCACACATAATTTTTCAAGATAGATAAACAAGCACAAAAAAACATGTTTAGGAATTCACATAAAAAATATGTCAGGACAAATAAGATCTTACTACCAAATCACAATATAAGGTCTTAATTTCTAATGCTGACACATCCAACATAGTGGTAAAGTTCATAATTTTTCAAATCAAAATCACGACTAATATCCAAGCAAAATTAAATAGTAAATTAGGATTAGTTTGGGTCCTCAATTGAAGGCTACTAAAAAGGGCTATTGGATTTGTTTTATTTTTTTGGGAAATGGGTTATTGACTATAAAGACTCGATTGAAATGTTAACGAACAAAATATACAAGGCTATGTACTAAATGCACCTTGTGCAAAATTGGGATGCTTGCGAGGCGCAAAAGGGGCTGCTACATCAGATGCAGAGCGCTTCGCCATGCCCCGCATCGCAGGCCGCATGAGGCGTAGTAGGATGCACGCCTTTGAAACACCGAGTCTGATGACTCAATCATCAACCCAAAACATCTTTTGATTTTTTATTTCAAAATTGAAATCAGAAATTTGATATATGAATGACAAAACTTGGGTTTGAATTCAATATTATGACATTTACATATTCCGTTTTTTTGCTTAATCCTCTATAATTTGTGTAATTTATGTACACTGTTATGTACTTATCATTCTTACATTTTTTTAAAGTTTACTTTCCATACTCATTCTGAGACTTGAAGAGTCCAAATTTTTTTAAAAAACTTTCTATCAGGAAATAACTTCCAATTATAAATCAATTATTGTTTTACATTTTTCTTATGTCATATTACTGTAAGAATGTAAATTGTAATGTGATCTCTTATATTTCTAGTTCCCATGGGAGTTGAATGTGAGCTGGTAATTGCTAAAATATAAATGTTCTTGTATTTGGTATGTGAAGAATCATGATGAAATTGGTGAGTTGTAAACTATCCCCGAGTGTCCTTTTGCAGTCAACTGTAAATTGATCCTGTAAATTTTTTACTTGTAGTTTTGAAGCATGAAATTTGTTTTATTGCATCAGAGAAATATGATAGATTAACAAGTTTGCCCATGTAATTATAGAATTTGCATTATTGCCTTTTTGTAGGTCGAGGGACAAACTGAAGAGGTGCTATTTGATCATTTACATGCAACAGCATTCCAGTACACCCCATTAGGAAGAACTATATTGGGGCCTGCTCAGAACATCAAGACAATCACAAAAGAGCATCTTAAAAACTACATTGCAACTCATTACACAGCCCCTAGAATGGTAAAGGATGATACTTGAATGAAGTTGATTATGTGGTTATTTCTCCTATAACAGAATTTGCTGAATAATTGTTCTATCTTGTTTGGAACATTTGGTAGGTATAATACCTGCTATTTTGAGGAAAGTTGATCAATTTCTTCTTTACATTATGCTATTAGGTTATATCTGCTGCTGGCGCAGTTAACCATGGAGCTCTAGTCGACCAGGTGAAGAAGCTGTTCACACATCTTTCAGCTGATCCGACCACTGCATCTCAGTTGGTTGCAAAAGAACCAGCTACCTTTACTGGTTCAGAGGTCCGAAATTTCAATTTGTGTACCTATCTTTATTTCCTATTCGTGTATACTTGATGTAAGGTGGACCTCTTTGATCATGCTCATTACTTCATGTCGTGAAGCTCAGGTCCGGATAATTGATGATGACATGCCACTAGCACAGTTTGCTGTTGCTTTCTCCGGTGCACCCTGGACAGATCCAGATTCAATTGCTTTGATGGTCATGCAATCAATGCTAGGTTCTTGGAACAAGAATACTGGTGGAGGAAAGCACATGGGGTGGGTTTTCCATCAAATTTGGGATTTTGTTTAATTATTATATTAATGGATTCATCATTCATTCTCCTAATTTACACTCCAATTGATTGCTTCAAAAATGTCGAGCAGTTCGGAGCTAGTCCAGAAGGTTGGGATCAATGAAGTAGCTGAGAACATGATGGCTTTCAATACGAACTATAAAGATACTGGGCTCTTTGGTGTTTATGCAGTTGCCAAGGTTAGTGATTTTCTAGTTTCTTTTTACACATGGAAACTGGTTATGGTATGTATTCAGCTTGATAAGGTTGTAGAGAATGTGTTGTTTGGATATCCAGTTGTTGGACGCAATATAGTTGTGCTCATAATTTCTCTTTCTCGTCTTTACGGGTTGTATTCAGCTTGACATTGTGGTATATGCTCTTCATTTTCTTTCGTTTCCAGTTAATTTATCATGTTATACACAAGTTAATAAATTTTGCAGGGGATCTCTTGTGCAATGTATTGTATTGGCTGCAACAAATGCTAGCTTAGTGTACAAAACTCCTTTCATTTCTTTTTTTCGCGTGAGGAACCTTGGTTTTGTACTAGTCAAGTAAACCCGAGGTCTGGGGCCTCCTTCCACAGTCCAGACCCAGGTGAATAGCACAAGCTTTGCAATACCTAATAATTAGACATTGGCGATATGCATGCCATAGACACGGAACGGCCATTGGCCTTTTGAGCCTAGGCCCCAATCCCCAACTACTAGGCCGCTATGCAGGGAGTTCCTTTCATTCCATTTCTTACGTGGAGATTTTATGATATTCTCGTATATTCATTTTCTCCCTCATGTGCTCTGGTTGAGAGTAAAAGGAATCAGTGATTGGTTGAGCTGTAAAAAAAAGATGGGTAGGTCTGGTGTTTTTTACTGTAGGTGGCATAAAATACATTGTTTCTTGTTTAATTATTTTCTTTAAAGCTGCAGCTTTTGCTACTTTATTATTGTTGTTATTTTTATTTGCATAGTTGGCTTAATTTGCTAGACTATTACTCTGGAATGATATAATATCAGAAATATGAAAGCGTGGCTCCCAGAAATGTTGCTTCTGTAAATTGAACTGTGGGTATCATACGATTCTGTAGCTACAGGAGTTACAGTGATATTTTTCCTTTGGAAAGGAATTGGGTTTTGTGGGATTCTTAGTACATTGATTAAGGTGCTAGACTATTCATACGACAAACTATGTGTCGAGACGAAGTTAATCTATTGGTGATTATATGATATGTAAAGTTTAGTCCAAGGTAGGTGTAATGGAATTCTGTGATGATGCTAAGATTTTTTGCTTGTACATGTAGATCAGTACTCCACGTGGATGCCTCATACTGCTGCCTGGTCTTGACAAGCTAGTTTAATGATGAGACATTAAAGTGTGTGGATAGCTCTCAAATTTGCCTGTAAATTTGATTTTAAAGTATCATTATTTTTTTCAGATCTAAACTTTTATTTTGCAACCTATTAAAAGTTCACATGCACAAAAGGATAATTATTATTTTGATCATATTGTCCTTGTTATTATAAGTTTATTTTTATCTTGAAGTTGCAACACACTTTCCTAGAGTTTGAAAATGGCACGCTACGGGTTTTTATCTTGTCAACTGATGCAAGGTAACAAAGGTTACCTAAGAACATATCAACAAGGTTAAGTACGGATTATGATTTAACATTATATTTGACCTTCAGCTGGGATGATGAGGCAGTCGAGAGATGTCATTTCCAGACTAATTTTATTTGAATTTATTGGAAAGCAATGATGCCTGATATGTGATAGCAAGTAGGATTGGACTTAGATTAGATTGAATGAATCATTTTTTTTATTTAACAAGTTTTATCAGATTAACAAAGAAGATTCTCATCAAATTAGTGAATTAGAGTTTGCAAGTCAAAAAATCATTAATACTACATATATCAAAGATTAGTATCAAGAAGAGAAGCTGGATATTGTGATGGTAGTTTGTAGTTACGGTAATAAGCACTATAGGTAGTTCCACTGCTGCTGTCAAACAATTGGGTTTTGTACGATTAATATATTTATTAGCTTGCAATAAATTTTCTTAGTTGGGTCAGATTGTGTTTTAGATTTACTAGTTTGGAATAGTAAGAAGACGAAGGAGTGAACTAACTGATAAGGGGATGGTGCATATGATGAGTCTGGGAAGACAGAGTAGGACATGGAGACCAAAGTGGTTATTAGGTTGTGCTTACCACTGAGAGAGTGGGATAAATAACGGCGTGGGATTATGAATAGGAACGAAACTGTTGCTTTCAATTAATGCTGCTGTTATGATAGCATGGATACTGGATAGCTTTTCTTTATATAGTTAACTTACTGTTAGAATATAATCTTCCTGCTTTAATACAATAGAAATACACCACAAAAAAGTTTTAACAACTATGAGCTAGTTATTTATGATGTAGGATCTCACGTGATCAACCTGTCATCTTGGGTTTGCATATTGCCTTTTGGCCTGATTCTAATCTGTCAGAGCAATTGATATCAGGTTGCAAAGACAACTGGCACCCCATTTCTGTATCATCGTGACCATCCTTTTATATGAACCACAAAAGCTAGGGTGCAGCTGTTCAATGTCCTCTGTACCATCTTTGCTTGGTAAACTTATTTATACACAGTATGTTTAGCCTTATTGTGCTGTGATTTCTCCATCCTCCACTTGTTTCCTTTCCTAGTTTAGCTGATGATTTTCTTTCAGTAACGTAGTCATGCTTATGCTTCCAAATTTTTATCACTTCTTGATCCATGGATGTGTGAATTAGTACTGGGGTTATGTGAATATCTAGGTGCCTTACCTCTGTTCTTGTCTATTGTTGACCTGCAATAACATTTGTTTGATCACTTCTTTTTGTGTCTGCAGCCAGATTGCTTGGATGATTTATCGTTTGCGATTATGAATGAAATTAGCAAGTTATGTTATCGGGTTTCAGATGCTGATGTTACTCGTGCGCGAAATCAGGTATCTCATTAATATGTTGGTACTCTTATCCACTGCTCCTCTCCAACTTATAAGGGAACTAGAAATGTATAACTGGAAGTTATTATTGCCAATGATATTGGGCTGCAAGCTAAATATTAATACTTTAATAGGTTATATTTGATGCCCAACCCTGAAATCATTTCAGTTTATCCTGTCAGATCCATCACAATTTTGTCAACCAGAAGTCTTTGTTGCTTGTGTAGTGTTGGAAACCTTTTTTTTTCCTCCTCAACTTTCAATGGAAATGCATAAATTATGCTGTGACATGATTTGCTTGGTAGATCTGGCAATTATGATAGATAATTATACAGTGTCTTATTGCATAATTTTTTTTGCTCAAAACATTGCATGAAACTGCGACTGGAGCATCTTATGAATTTTTCTATACATGAATTTTCCTTTTATAGGCATCCATTATGGAAGATGGCTCATTGGGCTAAACCATTTGGGGTTCTGACTTAGAACTCTTTTCATAAGCATAACATTTTGTATTGTCTTTTCAGTAAGTCATTTTGCCAAATTGATGGATCTCCTTTTTACAGTTGAAATCTTCTCTCCAACTTCACATTGATGGCACTAGCCCCATTGCTGAGGATATTGGTCGCCAGGTAAATTTTGATATATTTCTGAAATGGAAGCTTCTGTCTTTTCCATCCTTTAGATTAACTTGACCGATATATCATTTTTGCAGCTTCTGACTTATGGGCGCCGAATTCCAGCGGCAGAGCTTTTTGCAAGAATTGATGCAGTTGATGCTCGCACTGTCAAACGTGTTGCAAACCGCTTCATATTTGATCAGGTACTACTAATAATTGTCTTATTTGATAGAATAATAGTAGAAGTTCCTCTACAAGGCAAGCTATTTGCCAAAGGTTTAAGAAAATGAGCTAAGCTAATTCGTTTCAAATAGAGAGGGATTTCTTTGGCAAAGGTTTAAGAAGACAGGGTTAAAGAAATGAACTAAGCTAGTTAATCTGCTTCAATTAGAGAAGGATTAAATTGGCAAACTTATTATACTAAGTATTTTTCTCATTCTGAGTGTTTTGGAAGAGGAGGGTTACTAGAACTTTCTTTATAGTAAAACCCTTGCCATGTTCCATGTTTGATTTTTTGATAGCCTATTTCAAATAGTCTGGACCTACCCCCTATGTTTGCGTCTTCATCCAGCCCGATTATTTTGATGATGGACTAAGTTATCCTCAAAATTGGACTAAGTTAATCCCCCTTCCCCAACCCAGTAAATAAATAAATAAACAAACATCTTAGGCCAGTCCCGATTAAGATTACCTGAAAAAATGCCCTTCCTTTTTTTTTTTTTTTTTTTTTGGTGTTGGGGTTGAGCTAAGTCTAGAAAAACTTTTATCATCTTGGACAAGTATTCCCACAGTTTCAATCAATCCATTATCCTTTGACTTTTTGAGTGTCTGCAAGATAATGGGCAATTAGAGATAAACACCTTAATTCATAGGGAAAATATCATGCTTGCATACAAGTAAACAACAGTACGGTTTTGCACCACCACATGAGCATTTCTTAGAAGCATCATAAACAATTAGATATATAACAAAAATGAAATTAGAGCACCAACCAGATTAATGGTTATGCTTTGAATGTTCTCTATGGTACATCAGACTTCTTGTCGCAACAAATATTTACTTGGTTTCAAAGTTGATGGGGGTTATCTACAACATTTCCAAACATAGTGTTTACTCAGATAAAAATAGTTAAGGGGGAGTTTCCTGAGATACCCCATAGTTGAGGGGGTTTTCTAAAGTTAACCCTCTTTGAAATTTAGGGCGGTTTTCATGAACCTCAAAATTTTACCTTGATTTAATTTTAAACCCACCCACTTTCACATAGTTGTTTAGACCCAAATATTTGAAACCATTTACTCAAGTTGCAGTGTTCCAGAATGTATTTCATAAAAAATTCACAAATCCCTAAACTATCCGTTTCTCTCTTCTCCAACCTAAATCTCCCCAACTCCACTAACCCTCTCTGCAGCCTGAGAACATCCTCGCCACCTCCTCCACGAGCTTGACCTCTCCTAATCCCTTTCCATGTTCCTCTCTGGCCAACTCATTGGCTGCCTCCTCCTTTGTCCTCTCTCTGGCCAACTCATTGGCTGCCTCCTCCTTTGTCCTCTCTCCTTCCCACAGCCTCTGTCCTCACCTTGGCCCTCCAAATTTCCTCCTCACCCCTTTTAACTCTGGTCATCATCTGAGGTCTCCAGTTCGTCATGGATGGTCATCCATCTTTGGGTTTGGAATTCACATACTTCTTTTAGGAATATTCTTCACTCCTTGATGGCATTGCCAGTTCTATGATTTGGAACTTTAGATGGAAATGGTCGTTTGCTGTACCGGGTTTGTGATGATTGTGGTAGGCTTGCATGTTATGCGTTATTGGTCATATGTCCATGGGAGGTTGGGTTAGAAGTGAAGATTATGGAGCTGGTGATGAATGAGGATGCTGGGCTTCTTGAGGAGAAGAGTGTGGAAGCGGAGGAGAGCAAACTTGCTAGTTCTGCTGAATGTTCTGGGTGAAGATGTATGGAGGGGGATGTGATTGTGGACTGTTGGGTGTACTGTATTATTGTTTCCATCCGACCCACGCACCTTGTTGGGCACATGTGAGCTATTGGGACTTTGTTACGTGAAACCCCCAAAGTGGAGGGGTAAATTGTCTAAGGACTTTTATGCGAAAGTTTCTTATGCTAAAGTTTGGGGTCATAGGGTTTATATACTTTGTTATGTGAAACCCACAAAGTGGAGGGGTAAATTGTCTAAGGACTTTTATGCGAAAGTTTCTTACGCTAAAGTTTGTGGTCATAGTGTATGTATGTATGTATATGTGTGTACGACAAACTGAAAATATATCGAGGATGGGGATGTGATTGTGGGTTGTTGGTAGTATTGCAGTATTGTTTTCATCTGAGCCACGTATCTTGTTGGGTGCACGTGAGCTGTTGAGACTTCCCACAAAGTGTAGGTGTAAAATTGTTTTAAGGGATTTTATGCGAAAGTTTGGAGTCAAAGGGCTTTTTTATATAACCAACTGATATCCCTGATGAAACTTCCTTTTAGGCACAACAATCTTTTTATATAGATGATATCCCTGATGAAACTTTCTTTTAGGCATGATAATCTTTTCAATTTGATTATCTTCGATTTTCGAAATTCAGTGGGTAGCTTTTTATGGTAGCCATTTCTCTTATTGTCTTGCCATTTATGTTCTGTAGGATGTTGCGATCGCTGCAATGGGACCAATCACGAAGCTTCCTGACTACAACTGGTTTAGGCGTCGCACCTACTTGAACCGTTACTAGTTTCTTTTCTTCCCTTTTCCTTATTATATTTATGTTCTTCAAGTGAACTGATTCATGACTGCGCTTGAAGTCTCATTCTACTCAGGCTGCAGCGATGTTTAATACATCATCAAATCCTTTGGTGAACCAAAGTTTGTTAATTTCATTTTTGTTTTAATTTTGGTATGTGACATCTCTTTCGCAATAATTTGTTTTGGATAGGTGACAAGGTGGCCTATGTAGAAAACATTGACTTTAAATTCATTCTTCTCTACACATTTAGAAATTAGCCATGTTCTGAAGCCCGAATAAAAATTATAATCATTTTCGAATTTATCGGCTACAGTATGGATGATACCCTGATCTCTTGTTATTTTGATGTCTGCAAGCGAGAGGGATGCGAATTTCGCTCTCAAACTATTGTTCCACGGCTAGCGTGTTTGTGTGATCTTCTGTTTACCTTTCTGCCTACATAAACTTTTAGAGATCTATAATAAAGGAATGGAAATGAACTAATTTCAGAAAAGAGAATCGATACAAGATTTTCTGAAGGGAAATTTTGCAAAATAGACCGTTTTTGTTAAATATTTAGCAAAATAGACCACTTTGTTAAATATTTAGCAAAATAGACATTTTTTTGGCCAATAGGCTAAAAAGAGGTCGATTTTGAAAAACTGGCTTCAGAAAACATACGGGACTAATAGTCCCGTATGTTTAGAGCCAACAAATTTAGTGATTAGCGAACTCAGAAAATATACAGGACTACGAGTTAAAAAATTTTTATAACCCCTCTCCCAAGCAAAGCGCACTGGTACCCACTCCTTCAAGCAATGGTGTTTGGTTTATACTTTTTTCCTAAAAACTTTTAACTTGATTGATGAACATTCTTTAAAAAGTTTATTAGACGCCTCATTGCTTACTATGATTCTTGTTGTTGAGCTCTAGGAGAAGAATCTTTTAGCAATTTTATATAGGTTAAATTAAAAAAAAAATTCTCAATTTGAACTATTATCAGATAACCCCTACATAACCTTCAGAATATTAGAAAACACTCTTTTAAGTTTAGAGGTTATAAAAAAACACTCTTTAACTTTAAGATTTTTCCAAAAAAAAAAAAACCCTCTAAAAGCATGAACTATAATTTTCAATTGCAAAATATCCCATTGCATAATTTTACACAACCAAGTGAAATTACGACAAATACTGTTAGTGGATTTTCTAATAAAATCTTGAAGTTAGAGGAGGTTTTCTGATAACGCCTACACTTGATAGGGGTTTTCTGATATTCTGAAAGTTATGGAGGGGTATCTGACAATCATCCAAAGTTAAGGGGTTTTTCTAATATTTATCCAAACTTTCAATTTTGGAGCTACATAATGAGGAGGGAAAAAAGGACATAGATGGTAAAAATGTCCTCTCTTCAAGTTAACTGATCTTTATAGGAATGTTCCGAACAAAAACTTTCACAATAATATGAAGCTTGTTTGGATGTTCATTGTTTGATGGAAATTGATGATCATATTTTTATTATTATTTTTTACCCTCATTATCTATTTTGTTTAAATAAAAATATCACTAATAAACATGTTTTATTTTAATTTGCACATTAATGAAGAATTAATAAACAAAAGCTCAAAAAGAACTCAAATTTCCTTATTTTTTTAACCTTTTATTGAAGCTCGGGATCAAACCAAGCAATGTACAGAAGCCGAATAAACTAGGGCTGAACATGGTTCGGTCCAAACCGAAAAAACCGACCGAACCGATCCGAACCGACCTGGAAAAATCGGTTTTATGAGTATGGCGGTTCGGGTCGGTTTGAAAACTTTTTAACTCGAACCGACCAAATATAGTGCAATACTACCCATTCTGATCTCAAACCCTACCCGACCCGTCCCCAAAGAGTCAAAGACTCAAACCCTAAACTCATTTTCTGAATCATTATGGGTTAAAAATAATATCATTATATCAGTGTTTAATGCTTCATAATCTCCTACTTTGTTGATATCTTTTTTTCTTTAACACAGTTTGTTGTTTGATAAGAACTTTGATGAAGTTAGAACTGAACAAACCGAACCGAACCGCACCGAACCGACTTGCAACAGTTCGGTTCGGTTTTGAATTATAGGCGGTTCGGTTCGGTTGTTCAAATTTTGGTAAAAACCGAACCGAACCGACCGTTGCACACCCTAGAATAAACTATGATCAAATATGAAAAGAAATCAAGTGAAACTCATGTTCAAGATGTTAGCTACAAAGAAACGTTGATATCTCTCAATCCGGAAGACGGAATTTAACATATAATGTATAAAAATTGCTTATCTCGACGAGACAGAGCTAACTGCATTTTTAGAATTTTCAAATTCCAATCGGCCGACCAACCGATTAGTCAACTGATTGGCTGACCAATTGATCCGTAACAAACTCGTTTTATGGCTAAGATTTGATACTTGGAGCCCAAGTAAAATCCAATGGTTCTCATTCATTATTGTAGGCTATAAATAGGAGTAGAGGGTGAGGGGGTTTGGGTGTGAAAAATTTTGTAAAACACATTTTGGAGAGGAGTGTTACTCTTAATTGAGAAGACCTTCCAAAATTATAACATTTTGTTGTAATTAATAAAAGAATTTTTTTACCTCTTCATATTCTTCTGTTCTTCTCTTTATTTGATCATGAAGATGAAGATGAGATGAATATGAAGATCAAGATGAAGATTTGCCTTCATCAAGAGGCTAGAATCCTCTTGGAATGTAATTTTTTTCTTTTATCTTTTTTATATTCTTGTAATATATATTTTTTGTTTTAAATATTTAACGGGCTAGAACCCTCTTGAATTAGATTTATTTTGATGCATGGTAGAGTAGATTTACTTTCAATGTCTTTATTTTCTTGCATTTATTTTAGTATAGATTTACATTTTTGCATAGTTTAGATTTCCTTTATTGTTATTTTCTTTTTGCGTCTAATTTAGATATTTACTTCTTTGTTCTTATTTTTTTATTTTTGTAATTAGTCTAGTTTTCTTCCTTCATACTCTTTAATTTTTATTTTGCTTTTATTTTATAAGATGTGGAACTAAATCCTTGTAGGAATTCTAGAATTACATGAAACTAGTTCAATTTCTTTTTATGAATTATGAATTAATACTCTCTTGTGCTTAACATGATCATGTTTAGGATAATCAACTAGAAAACTAATTGGTAGAAAAAGAATTGGATAATCAACTAGAGAACCAAATTGACGGCAGACCTAAGAATCTCGACTTAGGCGACTCGTCGAGTCAATATCTCCTTAGGTCAACTCAAAGAGTGGTACTTGTCGGTCCTTTTGTCAAAGAGGACTCGATACGAGCCCACTCGACCAGTTATTCGACGCCTCGCGGGGTCGACTCGAAAGGCGTTACTTCTCGGCCAAGCCAAATGACGACTTCAACCTTGAAGCCCCCTAACTGACAACATGTCGACGTCATATTTAATGCTGGGCAGGGGTCATCATACCTCTAGCCTCGATAGCCTTCATAACACATCGGACTATGTCGGCACCGTCATGCCCCCAGTTACTTCACATTAAATGTTAAGGTGATCTCTCCTTCACTCGTCAGCCGACACATGTAAAGTAGGTGGATAAATATGAGCTTAATCGCATCCTCATATAACTCTCTAATCTTAATCATAAAACAAAGTTTCTCAAACACAAATATAAAAATGTATGCATTTTCGGATTCATTTCCTATGAAATTTGGAAGCATGTTTATGAAGAAAAGTATAATTTAAGTGAGAAAAATTCACTGGGGTTAAATCAAAATTTTTTAAGTTGAGATAGATTATCTGCAAAACTTGGCAGTGATTTACTTAGTCTTAAATAGTATTGCCCGGGGCGAGGGGGGGGGTGGTTATGCGCTCCATAGTTGAGGGGGAGTTTTATAAAACTAACTCTTAAACAAAAGCACAACTTAAGGCACATGTGATATCAATTTTATAAGAGTGGAGTTTATAGCAAGTCTATCACTCAATGAATTAGTTTGGGTTATCTGTCCTTAAATTTATCCTACACATCAACTCTAAAAATCTTTTTCTATAAGAATCTCTAAGAGAAATTTAATATTTATTTGGGATGGGTATATGCTCGTTCTAATTCCCCTTGTCTTTCATAATTTATAATAAATTATTTGAGAAAGTAATTAAATTAAGTTGTCATTTTATATTGCTCACGTTCTTACAAGTTTATGAAGCTCATAGCTTGGATATGACTATTATTGCAGATATTGTATTCTTCTAACTCGTTAAGCTAAATTTTTGAATATTGTTTGATATTGGATAGATATAAATTATTTTATTAAAATACAATCAATATTAGTGCATAATATATAAAAATCATTCTCAGACTATATTTTATAATTTTCTGAAACTAGAGAGTAATCGTTTTGACTGATCAATTAGTATTTAGGAAGATGTAAAAAGAGTATAGCATCAGATTTTGGAATTGATCACATAATTTATATTTTCTTTCTTGATTGAATTTGCACATTCTAACTTAGAAAATTCTAGAAAAAAAATCCTGAATATCTATAATACTCGATCGCCAGATAAACAACAGGTGGAAGTAAACAACATGTGGAAGTGGTTTTTTTATAACTGAACAAAATCCTTAATGACTAGATAAAACCTATCATTTTCCTTAATGAACTCAAGAATTTATTATTTATTATTAATAATAGGTTTTTTCCATATTGGTCCCTTACATCATTAATATTTTAAAACTATACATTCAAATTACTATTTAATCTTAAATTATTAATATTTTAAAACTATACATTCAAATTACTATTTAATCTTAAATTATTAATATTTTAAGGCTTTAAACATCACTATTTCTCTGAAAGACAAAATGTTAAAATCACACATGGAAATATCAAAAAAAATTAATATATTACGATAATTATAAAGTTTTTTACAACCATGTTATAGTAAATAAATAAACTTAAAGTAAATAATTATAACATTTGACCACATGCAGTGCACATGCATTCCACCTAGTTTAATAAAACGAGGGAGCCCTTTCACATGTGAATAGTGAACCTTCATACAAGAACAATGGCAGCTAATCATAAATATACCGATTCATTTGCTCTAGTTACTTTGAGTTTGGGGGTTTGTGAAGAGAGAGGTAAATGAGGAGAGTGATTTGCTTTGCAAGTTTAAAATGATATTTGGTGGGTATTTTTGGTGAGTTCAGAAGCATTCTATTTTTAGGTTCATTCTTTGGAATTTTGTTTGAGTAAATTTCACATAATCCCCCAAACATTTTGGCCTATAATGCCAGAAACTTTTGAAATG